ACCCTTGTATTTCCTAAACATTGTCTTGGGACATGACACTTTCCTCTTGGGTGTCTAACTTCTTGCTCTGGGAGGCCCAGCACCATGGGTACGGTGAATCCAGATTCTACGCCGGGTACAATGAGTCAGAATGCTGGTTTTGAACAAGATCCCTGCATGATTCAGAAGCCCCTTAAAGTCTGAAAAGCACCACTTCAACAAAAGCGACATCATGCTCTCCTACATGATCTTCCCAAGGACACTTCGTAATTGGCATTAAAACCCCTATTTTAGAGATGAGAGAGACCCAAGGTCCAGACAGAGTGCACTACTTGCTCCATTCCTCATGTCTATAATGAGCATCAGATGTAAGATAAGAAGACCCCACATTTCTGTCTCCCAGTCCTTCCATTATGATGTGATGCAAGAATATCAGATCAGAATGAACCACTGGGAAAGTATTGATTTTTCAGTTTCCAGAATGAAAATTTCATCACAAAGCAGAACAAGGAATAACCAACCATCCATATTCAAAGGGTTGGGGAAGGAGAAAATGCGACAAAGGAAGTGGACATGGGAATTCTATCACATCTTCTGAAAAAAAAAAAAAAAAAAAAAAAAAAGACTCCATTTGAGATTTCTATCCCCCTGACCCCATCCGCGCTCTGAAGTCAGTTTGCTCTGTGGTCGAAGCACTCAAGTTGCCCCAGAGAAGGCTGACTCCTGCTCCAAGAGGCGTCTAACACTGAGATTATCAAACTGTGTAATCTTTGCCAATCTGACATGTGACAAATGGTGTCTCACTCTTGGTTAATTTGAATTTCCTGATTGTTAAAGAAGTGGAACATCCTTTCAAAAATGTGCAGGCCATTTGAATTTCCCCTGCTGCTCTTGACATTATTTTCCTTTCCATGGTTTGACTTTTCAGCATTATTTTTTATACTGTTTTCTGTGTTGCAAACGTTTCCTAGTGTCAGTTGTATCTCATACTCTGTTCCTAATTTTTTTTTTTTGGCATGAAATTTCTTTTTAGGATTTTTCACACAGCGAAATTTCAATTTTTTTTTTGAGATTCTTGTTTTTACTTTGTTGTACATTTTGTTTAAGAAAGTCTTCTTAATTATAAAGTCACAAAACATTCTCCCGTTAGACTTCCAGGTGTATTTTTAAATGATTGGGTATTTATTCCTTCTTGAATTTACTTTTCTCTCTGGTAGGAAGCAGAGTACTAATTACATTGCACATTTTTTTTTTCTTTATAATGAGTAACCGTTTCTCCCAAGCCATACATTAAATTGTTACTCGTTTCCCCTGCTGTATTAATTAAGGGTTAAATGTTAACTATTGTAATAATCCTTGTTTCTCTTTGACTTACAAAATCCAGTTTTTACTCACAATTCGATGTAGGTCGGTTTGCTCACCCCGAAGCACTCCCCCATGCAAAGTCACAGAGATCTGGTTCTTTCCATTTTGAACTTCCGCCATCTACGAATCCTTCCCTTCCAGTCCTGCAGGGTAAAGAAAACATGAATAATCACTTGGCATATTCTAGGGACCAGACCTGGAAAGGCCACATGTCACTTTCATCTATATTCCATTAACTCCTGCTTGGACACAAGGGATAAAGGAGAATGTTGACTTCCTGTGTGCCTAGGAGAAAAGTGAAATGATTTGACGATTATCTGGCAGTGTTCCTGCCACATCCACCAACTGGTCATCCTTCTTCTACCACACGCTAAGTTCTGTAGAGGCAGTCACATGCTTCTGCTCTCATTGTTATGATTCAATGATGTGTTTAGCATTTATCAGATAATACTCTGTCATTTTAATTTCCATCTTGATACCTCATAGAGAAAATTCATCCATACTTACAATTTATTTTTATTTTAGTTTTTGAATTTATATTTTCTATTTTGCACATTTACTCATCCATATGAAATTTTAAGTCAATATCCTAAAAAGTGCAACCAGGCTTTTGACCTGATTGCATGAAAGTATCCATTTATAGATTAAATGGGAGATAACTAATAATTCAATTATTAAAAAGCTATTGCTTTTTAATATTGAATCTTCTATATTCAACATCATGATTTTGGTGGTGGTTACTCAGTTTTGTGCATCTTCTTAAAACTTAACAGTTCACATTCTTAAATAGTGAATTTTAATAAAGCTGACCAAAGAATTGAACACTCAGCTCATTTATTTTTATTTTTGTTTAAGATTTTATTTATAAGCCTTCTCTATATGCAGTGTGGGGTTTGAACTTAGAAACCTGAGATCAAGAGTCACACATTCCACTGACTGAGCCAGCCAGGTGCCCCTCAGCTCATTCATTTTCAACCTTCCTTGCTTTCTAATAAATACTTTACAGTGTACATTTCCTTCTGAGTACCAGTTTAGCTGAATCCCTCAAGACTTTTCTTTTCTTTTCTTTTCTTCTTCTTTTTTTTTTTAAGATTTTATTTATTTACTTGATGGACAGAGATCACAAGTAGGCAGAGAGGCAGGCAGAGAGAGAGGAAGGGAAGCAGGCTTCCTGCTGAGCAGAGAGCCCGATATGGGGCTCGATCCCAGGACCCTGGGATCATGACCCGAGCTGAAGGCAGAGACTTTAACCCACTGAGTCACCCCAGTGCCCCCCTCAAGACTTTTCTTAAAGAATGCAAACATACCAATGAACTTCTGATGTCCCCATCACCCAGATTCAGCAGTTTTCAAGATTTTACCATATTTACTTTGTCGAGTCCTCTGTGTTTGTCTGAAGTGAAATCATTTAAAACGAACCTTAGACATATCCTTTCACTTCTATGTAATTCAATACATATTTCTTAAAAACAGGAATCATTTTTTACATAAGCAAGAGGCCACCGTGGTGTGTCACTGTATGTATAGTTGCTTTAAATAAAGAATCAAATCTTAGTCCCTCTTTTTAACAGGGGAGTGCAACCTGCTTTGGTTTTTTGTACACAATATGTATTCAAACTTACAGAAGCCACAGGATCTTACTTCTTATTATCCGCTATTACTTTTTTTTCAAGTCTTGTGTTAGAAAGGCATTTTTTTATGGCTGCTCTTGTATCTCAATACCCACATTTAACTTTTCCTGCTGAAAAAGCCTTAATTTATCATTGCTCTCTCCTTGTCCTTGAAGAAGACTCTAGTCTGCTTTTACTTTCACTCTCTCCTCTGTTTCTGTGCTATTGTTTCCTGAAATTTAGCCTCAGCTTATTATTAAATCTGCAACGCTCCCATTGAACAATAATTATCAGTCCTGGTTCTGTGACACCACAGCAGCAGAAGCTGTCTTAGACGACCTATATTTGACTGAGTAGCTGGATTAACCAGAGTTCTCCAGGTGCTTTGTCCAATATATGCAGACTGGCGACCCGCGTAGTTGAGTAAGGCCACTGCGCGGTAGGTCTCTGCTCTCCTGTTCCCACCAGGTCATTAAATGCAGGCGAGACACATAGAAAGGAATGAAACCTCCTGTAAAATATTAGGAAGAGCCTACATTCAGATTTATTGTCAAATTAATTTTTCCCTCTAATGAAAAGAAATTCAAGTAAAGAAAAAAATACTGGCAGTGAAAAGTAGGTGTGATCTGGGTGAGAAACAACATGCAGAAATAAGTTCAGCCGAGGCACACACAGGATAAAGACCTTAACCCAGAAAGCTGACAGATGAATCCTTTTTAGGTAAAATGTTTAAGTGAAAATAAGTTTATTTCAAATAAAAGTAAACCATGGGGCGCTGGTGGCTCAGTCAGTTGTACATCGGAGTCTTGGTTCTGGCTTAGATCATGATCTCAGGGTCATGAGATTGAGCCCCATGTCAGGCTCTGCCCTCAGCGGGGAGTCTGCTTGAGGCTTTTTCTCTCTGTTCCTCCCCCGCCTCAGATAAATAAATAAATCTTTAAAAGCAATTTAAAAAAAGAAAAAGAAAGTAAAACCTTGTGGTATTGACACATTATTATTATTCCTTTTTTTTTTTTTGCCTATCGATCTTAAATCTGTAGCTACGAAAGCTTCTGCTTTTTATTATCTTTCTGTTCCTGCCAATAATTGTAATTTATCATATATTATATTTATTATATTATATTATATTATTATAATTTATCACCTATTTCTTTGTCCTCTGTTATTTCTTTTTGTATCTTGTCTTTTGCTATTGCACTTTCTGTATCTTGCTTCTAGATAATACTCCTTAAGATTTTCTGTATATGAAAGTTCTTTTGGAAACCTCCCTTTTTCCTGACCTCCCCCACCTCCAGAGTTTATAATCAGCTGTCCCTCACCACCCTGTGCAGCAGCTCTCTCTGCCCACGGGTCCTGTCCCGTGCTTTAATAAAATCACCATTTTACACCTCCCCCCAAATTCTGTTTATTTATGTATTTTTTTTGTGAGATTCTGGGGGTGGTGTGTTCTCTAAGACCTCACATGTGAGCTAAATGTCTGTAGACCACCTTCGTTTCCACTACCACATGACCAAGTGTGGACTCATTCTGAGTGTGCATTCTGCTTGAGAAACTCACATTTGTTCAAATCATCCCACATCCCCAGAACCTACAGATCCTTTCCCACTACCTTGTAAAGAACTGAAATCCCTAAACTTCTCATAGATGGACAAAATACACTGTAATCTCAGAGGAGTCTTAGTATAAAAGAAGACATTGTGCATATGCAAGTGTGTACATACTTGCCTCAAAATTTACAGGATATAAAATAATAGGATGTATTCCATTGTCACACTCCTACCTTATATTGGATAATATGAAAAAAAATAGTGTCCTATTTTCTTTAGCAAATTATTTTAGAAGTGGGGTAAAAGTCAACTGTGGGGACTCATCAGAGCACTGCATGAGGGTGATTGTTTTTTTTTTTTTTCCAACTCAAAATTCACGGACACAGGTACACAAACTCAATAAAGCAAGCTAAACATGTTTTTTAATCCTAATTATTTAGTAAATGTGGGAAATGATTTCCAAGCGGAAAGGTAAATCCTTTAAAACTACATGAAAGTAGTGCTCACATTGGCAGCTCATATACTAAAAAACTGGGACAATACAGAGAAGATTAACATGGCCCCTGAGCAAGGGTGACATGCAAATTTGTGAAGCGTTCCATTAAAAAAAAATAAATAAATAAAATAAAATAAATAAAACTACATGAAAGTAAACGTCAAAAATAAGAGAGCAGTAAGGATAAGAAATGAAAAGATACAATTCAGAACTTTTTTCTTTTTTTAAGCAAGTGAAAATTAGGAGGATTCAAGGGGTGTTAAAACATTTATGTTATTGTAAAACTCATCTGCTGTTTTAGGGCCTGTTTCATAGCTATTGGTGTGTTATAGCTAAGTCTTGAAATCAGAGCCCACTGAAAGCATATCTGAAAAAGAAGGAAGGAAGGAGGAAAGTAGGAAAGAAGGAGGGAAGGAAGGAAGGAATGATGGGCTTTAGAACATTAAATAAATAAAGAAGAAATAAAATCATCCCATCAGTCGTTGCAGAGAGGACTTTGACTTACATCTTCCCACTGGGTTATTTTAAAGAGAGGCACAAAGCTAGCTCACGGAAAGGAGTTCATTTCTTTTTAAAATTTTTCTTCTTAACCTTTCGCATTATGACTCTATTGTCTTAATTTTACTGCACATTGTACCCTCAAACCATCGCCCATGTGCCATCTTGCCCCTGTGGAAGGAGAATAAAGGTCCCCATATGTGTCCACCTCCTAATCCGTGAAGCTGGTGAGTAAGCATGCTACCTCATACGGCAAAAGGGACTGCGCGCATGTGGCTAAATTAAGAATCTCAGATGGGGAGGCTATCCTTCATTACCTGTGGACAGCAGTCTTTATAAGAGAGGTGGTATGACACTGGAAGCAGGTCAGAGGTCAGAGTGATGCCATCTCCAGAAGGGGACCTTGCATCAAGGAATGTGGGTAGCCTCTAGAAGTTGGCCTTAGTAGTACCTTAGTAGTAGGACCTCAGTAGTACCTTAGTAGTACCTTAATAGTACCTTAGAGCCTGCAGAAGAAATGTGGTCCTGTGACACCATGATTTCAGGACTTCAACCTCCAGAACTCTTAGAAAATAAATTTGCATTGTTTTAAGCCCCCACGTTTGTAGGAATTTGTTACAGCAGCCACAGAGCACTTGAATACGTGCTCCCTCCAGATTTCCTCCCTGCCTTTTCTCTCCACTGTCTCGAAATTTATCCATGAAGTCTATAAGGCCCTGAGACTCAGAAGGAGTATCTCTCTGGCTTTCCAAGTTTTCTTGTTGGGCAAACCAGAGTGTTCATTTTTCAGACAAGGCCAGTCTGTGTAAATAACAGTTAATTGTCTGAGTCAGGCTCCAACCCAAGAGCCTCCCAGAGCAGAATGAACGTAGCCTCCAGTGTCCACCTGCCATCCCATTTCCCAGGAGGGCCATATGGACATTTTCCTAACACAGACCTTGTGGTCTGTACTTCTCCCTAGCACTTTTCAATGGCCTTCAACTGTGCTTCTCATCAATGGCTTCTGGATTCCCTCCCCAGCCTTGCCCCTTACTTGTCTGCCCTGGACATCCCTCACACCCCCACCCTCTATGTTCCAAATGCAGGTCCCCATGCATCCAGGCATACTCCTTCCTTTTGTTCTTGATGAGGCCAATTCCCTCCACCTGGGGACTCTTCCTCCTCTCCCCTAATCCCTTCTCATCCTTACCTTTTTCCAGGAACCCTCCCTGACATCCACTGAAATAACATCAAGATTGCCTCCTCTTTCCTCCTCAGGGTCCCACTCCCAATACCAGACACTCATTCCCAGCACTGATCCCATTTTTTAAAACTACCTGTTCAATGATCTGTCCTTCCTAATAGCCTGTTCCTTCCTAGGACAGTAGTTTTCAAAGTGGGGTCCTCCTGCCAGCAGCATCAGAATCACCAGGTGACTTCCTGGAATAGTTAGCAATCAGGTGATACCCTTGACCCGGACTGAAATACTTTGGGGTGGGGACTAACAGTCTTTGTTTTGACAAGCCCTCCAGGTGATTCTGACAGATGCTAACTTTGACAACCACTGTCTTAGAGGAGGAGTACCAGTTGTGCCTTATTCATCTGGGAATATCAAACACATGGTTAGTGTTTAGTAAGTACTTACGGAATTAATGCAGTGACTTTAGATCAGAGGGTAGGTTGAGTGACATCAGAATTGTGCATATGATATCTAGTTAACCCCCACAAAAATCTTCAGCAGAAAATATTATTTTAGTGTTACATATGGGGAAAATAATGCTCAGGCAGACTTGCCTGAAGTTTTTGACATTGTATTACAAGCAAAAATTAACAAAAAATGTTCTTATAAATGCGGGGCATGAAACTGGGTCTGGCTGATTCTGTAGCAGTTTTCCCATCTCCACACCACGAAACCCTCAGATACTTTCATTTGATGGCTGTCAACCTTTGTGCCCATTTGAATCACCTGGGGGAACTTCAGGCAAACAAAATAAACACGCAAAGTCGGGACTCAATGCCTGAGCTTCTCAGCAAACTGGTCTGGGGTGGGGTATTAGCATCAGTGTTCTTGAAAGTCAGATTGCATTGCAGAACCAGGGTTGAGGACTACTGCTTGGTTGGATCCGCCCTGCCCTAGCCTAGCCACGGGACAGAGCGAGGATGACCTTCTCCACAACTGGGCACCAGTTATGCCCACGGTGAATGCTGACCATCACCCAGCTTCCTCTCCTGACCTGTGGCCTCTCATTTCAGCTCAACCTGGGCATTGTTCCATTTCCTTGGTGTCAGCAATTCATGCCGTCCTGATTGACAAGTGATCTCGACATCCTTTCATGGCAACACTTAGGAATTCCCTGGGGTAAGGCTGTGATGTGTGTCCTAACTGCATAGACCATGACTGCGGGTAAGAGCCCCTCCCCTCCCTCAGTCCCCAGGCTCTGTCTTCTTCTCTTGATCAGCCTTCTGCTGGGGAAAGGGAAGTGGGCAGATATAAACTCTGAAGTGCTTGAAAATATTGCATACTATTCTTGCCACCGGCACAGTGCTGAGTGCACACTAATTGCTCACAGACAGGGGGCGTCGTCAGGTTCGGAACATGAACCTCAGTGTGTGACAGAGCCTAGCCTTTGAGGCAAGTGTCTTGGTCAAAGTTGAATACTCACATTCCATTAACGTCTCTTACAAATTACTTGTCTAATTAAGTGCCTGCTTATTAAAGATCCAATCTGTCACTGCATGGGTGTTGCCCGACTGCATTCCCGTTTCTTCTTTGCTTTGTCCAGATGTTGTTTACTAAAATGCATTTCTTCAAAAGTCTGCTTTGCTGTCCCGTCCCTGAAGCCAGTGAGACGTGAGCAGCTCAGCCAGCTGAGGGACACTCAGGACATAATTGCCGTTGGGTGGCTGGAGTGGAATGGCTTGTTTGCTTTCCTAGGCTGGACAAGACGATCGTTATTCATCTAAAACCGTAGAAGGAGTTCTCTCTCTATCAATTGATCTGTCTGTTCTCTGTTTGGACAAAAGGCAAATGAAAAACTGCTAGTCTTTGAGATAAGTAGTTCCTCATACCCCGGCACAAGCCAAGGGTGTGCAACGATCATTACTAGCAACGAAAAGGGTGGGTTCTCGCTATCACCCTGTTGGGACGGGGCACAGGTAGTTCAGTCTGGAGGCTTATTATGTGCAAGAAGGTTTTTTGTTTGTTTGTTTGTTTGTTTGTTTTTGTTTTTTTCTAATGTGCAAGAAGTTTAAAAGACAGGAGTAATGAAAATAACTGCCATTGTGTACTCCATTTTCTTGCAATCTTTTAAAAGGGGTCTGGTTAAGTTCACAGAAGGGATTACCATCAAGCGTTTTCATGCATCCCTCCTTCTTATTCTGATCCAGAAGGGGCTTCTCTCCTTAAACATAGCTCCACACAAGGACTCCATCTTCCGTCTCCATCCAAGTGGCTCTTTTACTTCCTTCCCATCTCTCCCAGATCTGTCAGCCCTTCAAATGTAGACATACCCCTCTTTACTTTCAACTGGAAAGAAGCTTCCTGAAGGGAGGAGGACACTGGAGGGCTAGTTACTGGATTCTGTGTGTGGCTATAATGGGGGGTAGGAGTGATATCTGTGGCTTGTCTCCAATTAATAATATCTATCCTATAAAATACACCATTTATTTAACATTTACTGTATTCATTTTAGCGAACATGCTCTCTTTTATGTTGAATGTTCCCAGAAAATCTGACCAGGTCTCACTGGGCTCACACTGCAATGTAGGAAACTATACTGTTATGCAGGTTAATTGATTTGCCCAAAGTCACATGGCCGGGCCTTCATGTCAGCAAAAGCAGGTGTGTTTAGCTGCTCCACAAGCCTTTCAAAGGAGCACCACCTGCCCCAAAAAGTGTTCAGTAAAAAGGGGACATGGAAACAGTGTCAGGCTCAGTTGCTCAGCTAGAGAGTGATGACATCTCCAGGCTTGTTACCAGTGAATAGTTTTACCCACATTTTGCAGACATTGAATGCTTTCTGGAATGTGGGAAGTGTCCTTGCTTCTGTGCTGAGATTTGATGCTGGTAAGAAGATGCGGAGACCCCAGGTGGACAGCTTGGGCTCTCTCCTGCCCCAGCAGCTCTGTTAGTCCATCCCCTCACCCTTCTGAGGGTCAGGCTCCACCATGATAAACACCACACAGTTACGTGTTACCGTAAGAATGCCCCAGTCACAGTTCGTGATTTCCACTGTGGGGCAAGGTGGTAGTGAAATGTCCCAAGAAATCAGAGTCACAACCATAATCCCAAAACTGTGCTCCAATAGCAGAACCAAGGCCAATGACCAACCCATGGTCCTTCTTGGGCAATTCTAAGTTTCTTCCATTCTTCTTCCTCCAACAATCTGCTCTTTCTGAACTGGCCAACAACTTGTCCAAGGCCAATGGGCAAGTTGCAGCAGAGGTGGACCTGAATCTAGTCTGTCTAATCTTAACCTCCTACACTGCGCTGTGGGGCTAAATATTCAGCCTCACTCTCCAGTGTGATGGCCACCACATCAGCACACATAGTGAAGCTTCCATAGAGGGACCAGAGGGGCAGAGGGCTCTGCTGGAGACACAAAACCTATGCATAGACAACCTACCAGCTCAGCA